GCAACAAAAACTGCGGGGAGCCATGCAAAAAACGCATCTTCGCACGGGCAGCCCGTGCGTTGGCCAGTTATTACAGCTGTTTTCCAGCACTGTTCAAAATTTGTTACTCATTCAGAGGTGGTACTATAGTTGTAATTTTCTGTCGGCATCGGGATTATTTTTTGCAGTGATTTACCATGCCGATTACTTTCTGTAGTTGAAACATCTTTTATGCATTCATATCTTCATACATTTACTGTTGTTTTATTAGCACTGCTAGTTTGTGTTTCACATGTATTACTTCTAACAATCTTTTATGCATTTTACCCGATACAATTGTATCAATGGTACATTTGCATTTTTGGCTTCCCACTTCTGTTTTTTTGAAATGCTTCCACAGATTCACATCGACGTATCGCCGGCAGGGACCAAACGTTGGTCCCGGTAACAGATAAAGATATTTTTTTCTCAGTTACAGAAGTATTTTTTCCAGATCCGATGGATGGTTCCGCGTCGTTATCCGAAGGAAAGGTTTCGAGTTTCATGGAAGGCGGCTTTTCTCTTGCGAGTTACACATCAAAAAGATTTGTAAAATCATTCCCGAAAGGTTTGCGGCAGGACTCAAGCAATATGGATCCGATGCCGTCATGGATCTGTGGTGTGCAGTCGGTTGCGATGAACATGCAGACTGCCGGCGAGTATCTTGATTTAGTTAACGGTCTTTTTCGAATTAATGGCGGCTGCGGTTATGTCCTCAAACCAAAAACGCTTATCGATGGATTCGGTAGGTTTTTTTTGCTGCCGGTGCAGTTGATAACCACAGTTTTTTTTCGGGATATCAAGGAAAAATCTTAGAGTATGACGCAAGAATCTGAAAATATTGGATCATTACACCTCTTCTTAGGATTTTGGAAGTCTGTAGCGTTGCGTTTATTTTTCAGGGCCTTAGAATTTGAAGCACTGTATTTGTTTTTTAAGACTTTAGAAATTATTGTAAATTTGGGGGTTGATGTAAATCCAACAGTAGTTTCCAAAGTCCGAAAAAGATTAAGCGGAGAAAATTAAGAATTAAATTTTTTTAATTCCACAAAGTTTATTTCCTTTTTCTAGAAGTTATAAATTCCCATGACGTCTAGTGCTTATGTTTTAAGCACTATAATATGCAGTTTTTGTTGAGTATTAAAAAATTCGAATTGAGTTTTGCAAAATTCAGTAGAGCTTCCTCATGTTAAACAGTGCTGATTATAGATCTAACACTTGAAAACAAAGAGTAAAACACACACACACACATACACATTCTTACTAGACTATGAATTTCCATTGTCACTAGACCGTGAGTTCCTAGCATGACCTGTACGAGGTCCGAAAAATGCAGAGTGAAGTCCGTGAAGTGTTTCAGATCCTCGCATGCCTGAGGTATCGAATACAATAGTAAAAAGATTGTCAGTCGGGGTAAGTTTTTTATTTTGCTGGAAGCGGTACTGCTTATTTCTTTTTGTGCATTTTCACTGTATTGTTTTAACAGTAATAACGATTCTTGCATTATTTACTGTTAAAAAATGAGGGAAATTCCCTGCAGTACACAGGGGATGAATGGTAAATCGTTGCAAAAAAGGCATCTAGAAGGCATCAGTTGTTACTAAAGGTATCTAGAATGTTACTGGAAAGGTAGTACACAGAGAAATTGTTACTAAAAAGGCAACATCAATTCGCCATATTTCCAGGGATGGTTATTTGTCCTATTTGCAAATGAAAACACTAAAGATATCATGTGGGTTTTAGGTCATAAGCGGACAATATTTGCCAAAAACATCTACTGCATCCGATGTTATCGATCCGTATGTTACTGTCGAAGTTTTTGGGATCCCATCCGATTGTAAGAAGTTCCGAACAAAGACGATTCGAAACAACGGGTAATGTTTTTGTTCAGGATCGAAAACAAACTTTCTCCGTATTCATTCTTCATGAGAGACTGAGGCACTCGAAAGACTGTGGTAAAAAGCAAGAAATTGTTCAAAAAACACCAAAATTTGGCCCTAAAGCATCGAAAAATGTTGTGCTTAACCAAGTCGGACACAAAAACAGGAAAAAAAAACGGTGCAAGAAATGTGCTCCGTCTGTTGGAAGCCTGGTACCACAGGTCGACTGAAATAATAATGCCAGTACAAGTGTGCTGCTGTGATTTCAGGTTCAATCCGCAGTTCAATGAAACATTCACATTTACGCTTCATTTCCCGGAGCTTGCACTGCTTCGTTTTTGCGTGAAAGATTTCGATTCAACTTCAGCAAATGATTTTGTCGGTGAATATACAGTACCGGTAAACAGTATTCGGGGAGGTTCGTTGGTTTATCATTACAAACTGGCACTAGCTCCGATTTGCCATTGTTAACTCACTGAAAATGCGGATAATTTTTGCCGATTAAAAATGGTCATTGCCACCGTTCACATTCATATTCTCGTCTTTTAAGAAATGAACGATATTTAGGTTACTCTCACATACGTCTCAACACGGGCTATGCGCATACGGTGGACGAATGTGCCTCAATTCTTGTGAGAATCGCTTTCGAATAAAAACAGATGATCTGTGTATAACTGGTATTTAACGCTTTTTTTTGACACTGCTATGTTGTGGATGTTGTGCAACGCTGTAATAAACTCTTCGCGCTTTTTTTGCACTGTAAACCTCTATGCTATAGCTAAAAAGCATGCTAATCTGATCCAAGAAATGCACCCCTTAGCTGCCATTCATTTCACTGCACCTGCTTTTTGTGATCTTTGCTTAGCCAAAATACCTTTTTTATGCGTTTTTGCTGTGCAGAGCTATAGCAGCGATATAAAAAACGCATATTGTCGAGAGGCTGTGTGTGTGTGTGTTCGGAAAGCGAGTGCATTTTGTCACCCA